AGGACAAACATCACAGCCTTCGCTCTCTACAGTTATACAGACATCGTGTTTAACTCCGCAAACAATGATCCACTGATCCACTTCTTGTTTTCCATTACAAATATCGAATATTCTTAAATCAAGATACATTCACTGATAATTTACATTTGAGATATTACTCGTATATCTTGTTATATGGAAAAAATGCATCAAAATTTAGTGAGTTTAAGCTTAAAACAAGACAAAATAACTGGGAAAATGTAAACTTAATTCAAAAGGAAAACAAGATTATTTTTCTAACTCCACTAGCAACTCACTCATTATCAACATATTTAATCAAGACAAGGCTTAATATCCTATAGTCATTTTGCTTCTAAAGTGAATGCATCTTGATTTAATGATGTTAAGACAATAATACTGAATAAGAAAAAAAATTTTTTGAAGTGTAATATTTATTTACATCTAAGTAGCAGACAATTTACTTATCTGAACAAACTCACTGAAATCTCAGAAGGATCATGAATTCAAATAGTGTACACACACACACACACACACACACACACACACACACACACACACACACACACACACACACACACACACACACACACACACACACACGTGTTTACTCATGGGGACCTCATTTTAGGTCCCCACAGTGACACGAGTGCCCATGAGTCTGTGTGCATTCAGGTTTAAGTCCCCACCGGGATAGACAAACATGTAGGCTACACACACACACACATATACGGACGCACACACACACATACGGACGCACACACACACACACACACACATACGGACGCACACACACACACCCACACACACATAACCTGCCATGAATCTATCTTTGTCTTCCTGGTAAACGCTTAGCAACACCCTAGAAACCGAACCGCTTTTAAGCTTCAGTCTCCAAACCCGCCCAACAGAAGCTTCAGACATCAAGGCTGTTCTCGGGTCAGTGATCTCCTACGGCGGCGTCGGACTGCAGCTTCAGAAGCGGATGAGTCTGCTCGTCTGCCAGCGTCACTCCTTCAGATCATGCCTGCGGGTCACGGCGTCCAGGTGAAGAGTTGATCTGAACGTTAGCAGCTTCTACAGAGCGTCTGGAGGAACGAGTGTGTGTGATCCGACACGCAGACGAGGAGCTGATGCTCAGGTTTCATCCCAGACATGAAAGCTGGGAAAAACTATGATCTATATTTCAGATGTCAAGCACTCACAGTTATGCTATAGGAGACCAATCCAAACAAAACGACAAGAATGGCTACTGTACACTCCATCATCACCTGTTCAACTGAGGTCAAACATCACGGCTAAACGAAAATATATAACGGTAACACTTTACAGTAAGGCTCATTACATAACTACATTAGTTAAAATGAACTAATGATGAACTGCACTTCTAAAGCATTAGTTAATGTGTAAACTAACATAATGTTTAACATAATTTGTTACTGTATTTGTTAACGTTAGTTAATAAAAATAGTCATGTTACGTTACTTAAGAGCATTAACTAATGTTATTGTTAACAAATACAACTGTTGATTTTAATAATGGATTAGTAAGTGTTGAAATTAACATTAACAAAGATTAATGAATTCTGTATATGTGCAGTTCATTATGAGTTTATTTTAAGTAATGTAGTTTATTAATGTTAACTAATGAAACCTTATTGTGTTATCGAACTAACTAACGTTCCCATTGAGTTATGAAAATGGTATTTCTGAATGTTTTTGTAGATTTCTAGATTATGTACAAAATACAACTTGGAGTGAAATGTAAACTTGGTCAGATATTTAGACTGAAACATTGGATAAGTTTGCAGATTTTAACCAGTATGCAAATGTTCACACTCTTTCTCAGTGTTTATTTGTCTGAAAAAGTATGAAAAAGATGCGTTTTAGTTCAAGCTACAAAAACGAATTCCCATCAGCAGATCAGCAGAGTGCATTATGGGTATTGAAGTTTTTGATCAAAGGAAGGTGCCACAGTCCCGTATCTCTATGTTCTGCATGCACTGTATTAAAAAATAAGAAATTACGATCTGTCATTTAGAGCAAATCCAGAAAGGCTGATAATCGATGGTCGTGTTGAAACGTCCTGAAAACGCCTCGGTACGCCGGTTCTGCTCGAGTGGACTCGACAGGAGCACAAAGCCGGTGTTTTCTGCGCTGGTTCTGTGACTGTCTGTATCCGGGCTTTACTGGGAAACACAAACACTCCCAGCTTTTGATGATTTTAATTACAGCTTTTCTATGAAAGCAGAGCAAAGACAGAAGAGCAGCAGCTGAAGGTCTGTGTTGTCTTTTCATGCGACCGCAGCCTTTGATTCCTCACAACGCTCGACGACGTGACACACACACACACACACACACACACACACACACACACACACACACACACACACACACACACACACACACACACACACATCAATCATTCGTTTCTCTGCACTGCATGTGACTGCTCAAAGTTTGCTTATGCATAAACGTATATCCTCCCTCAGGCACTGGTGAGTGAGTGTGTGTGTGTGTGTGTGTGTGTGTGTGTGTGTGTGTGTGTGTGTGTGTGTGTGTGTGTGTGTGTGTGTGTGTGTGTTTTTCTATCACGGTGGGGACTTAAACCTGAATACACACAGACTCATGGGGACTCGTGTCACTGTGTGGACCTAAATTGAGATCCCCATGGGCAAACACGCTTATAAATCATACAGATTTTTTTTTTTTTTTTATGTCAAAATGCAGAACGTTTCCTGTGATGGGCAGGTTTAGGCGTCGGGTGTGTGTGTGTGAGATGGGTAGGTTTAGGGGTAGGGTTAGTAAGGGGATAAAATATACAGTTTGTACAGAATATAAACCATTACGTCTATGGAGAGTCCTCACAAAGATAGGAAAATCAGACGTGTGTGTGTGTGTGTGTGTGTGTGTGTGTGTGTGTGTGTGTGTGTGTGTGTGTGTGTGTGTGTGTGTTCTAAACCCATGAGCCAACTGTCCAGGTAAAATCTCTGTTAAAATCACTCACATGAGATCCACCAATAGCAAACCACAACCAGCCAATCGATATCGATTCCCACAGACACAATCAATTGTCTACATTTGTTCTTGTTCCAGAAGCGTTTGGCTCAGATATACGACACTATAGAGAAGAAAAGACCAGCTCAACTTCAACTTTAACCTGATTCAGTTTAGTCCCGCTGGTAGATGTTGTAACTACACACTCCGGCAGCACTAGTGTGTTTCTCTGTTTACAGCCAATCAGCTGTAGATGTTATTAAATGTACTATTTAGACATTATAAGCGTGATCGTTACAGACACTACTGCATATCAATTCATATATCAATGAGAGAATCATAAACCTCCACTACACATTTGTTTTCCATAATGATTCAGATAGATTGATGTGATCTGTGACCTTTGACCTTCTGCATTTAATGTTTCCTCAACTTCAGGCACTTTAATGCCATAAGGATTGTTTTAATTTAAAACTAAGATCACATTAAGATTGTCTTGGAAACTTTTTACCATGCCTTTAAAAAAAAAAAAAAAGTACTACTTTTTTTAGATTTCATTTTTTTTTACCCATGTCCCAATGAAATTAAAATTCATGCTGTAATGGTCAAATTATGCAAAATGTTTAAAATATTATTCTGCATTTAGGATACATAAATGATACAAAACGATGAAAATGACTACAAAAATAAATTCAAAAATTACCTGATGACTTTCAACAAATACGAATTTGTTTCAAAAGAAATTAATTTTTTGCTCATCATTATTATATTATGTTGCAAAATATTGTGGTAATAATAATCATCACACATTGCAAATTGAACAGATATGATAAACACCTATGACCTTTTTTATGATTTCTGGACTTGATCTACAGAGGTTTATTGAAATACAGGTTCTAGAAATTAATTCGTTTAGGCTATCAGAAGATATATTACAAGCATTTGAGCTCCAAAGTTGTTATTATACGAATATAAATTGCACGGTTTTATAAAGAAAACCAAGAGGGAGAGGAACAATTGATGCAATTGTAATAAAAAAAAACAATATAGAGCCATACAATACATAATCTGACATGATTCTGCCAGCCAGCTTACAAGAATATGTTCTAAGAACATTTTGCTTACATGTTTTCTGATCAAAATGATGTTTTTTTTTTTTTTTTTAAATAAAACGTTTTAAGAACACTTTTTTCTTGGTTATGCGAACATTCCATTTTAGAATGTTGTGAACATTATGGGGATGTTAGTTTAGAATGTTCTATGAACGTTCTGAAGCAAGTAACGTTTAAAAATGCTAGACGAACATCCAAATAAAAAGTTCCATTAACGATGTATAAATAATGTTTTTTTTGTGCTAACGTATTGAGACCATATAACTTTGAACGAACGTTTGTTAATAACACAATGTTGGTTCATAACTTTAACAATAACGCAGGGAAGTTCTGGCGTTCATGAATTATTCCATCAGCGCGCGCTCATCTGATGGTTGCCGTTATGATGATCAGCGCATTTTTGTGATACTATTGCATTTCCCCGTAAACAACATCATTCTCTTTCTCCTCTCGGGTGTATTTCCTCCTTCAGCAACAGTTCAAAGTCACATAGACATCAGAAGCGCGTGCATGCAAGTGCATGTCTCCTGATCCACATGCAGGAGTTTCCCTCACACACACACACACACACACACATCTCATCTCCGCACGGGACAGTCGAACCAGTCCCTGAGCGAGTGCTTCACACACCCGTTTAAAACATGATCACACACACCGGGATGCATATGAAAGACCAACAGTGAACATCCAGTACGATCATTTTACACACAACACATGCATATTCCACTCAGAGCACATGCATAATAAACACACACCGCCAGATCCACCAAAGTCGAGCAGATAAACACACACTAATGCTGTAAACATGTTCGCATGAGCAGAAGTCTCTAACGGTCCGCGCGCATCTCACGGACACAGGAATTTCCCTCGCGCATTCCTGAAGCGCGCGCCTTACCTGCAGGAAGACCGGGATCCTCTTCAGAGCTTCAGCACAACACACACACACACTCTTCTTCAGGACGATGTGCTCTGGGACACTCTCAGGACAGGTCTGAGGCAGAGATCTGGACTGAGATCAGATCATTACAGTGAACCAGATCACTCGAGCGCGTGCATGTGAACACCCGTCTCCTCTTAAAGCGCTTCAGACTCGTTTCTCTCGGTGTGTGTGTGTGTGTGTGTGTGTGTGGCTCCACCTCGAGTGAGGGTTCAAGATGCTCTCCGCCCAGAATGAACCTGAGACAGGTAGAGGCTGAAGCTCGAGCTCAGTGCTGCCCTCCTGCGGCTGAACACAGCATTACACTGACCAACACACTGCGCCTAATGTGGGATTTATGCATTTTATTGCATGTAAAATTCCCCTGCATTTCCAACATAAACCAATTAATGTGGTGCATATTGTCAGGCATACATAAACGAAACACGTAAAATATCTGTAATAGAACAAATAAAAGTAATGTGTTTTGAATACAAAATAACCAGAATTAACTAATTATTTACTAATAACTAATATTAACTAAATTAATATCGCTCGTTCCTCTTTTAACCATGTTCATACTTTTTAACTGAATGAAATTAATTGTGAATACATTCATTTTGAAAATATTATTATTTACAAAAAAATTAAATAGATACAAAAAACTTAATAAATGATGCCAAGATTTCTGAATGCTGAAATCTGACCCGTTTCATTTATGCAAATTTTTTTTTTACAATATGACAAATATGTAATTCAAACACATAAATCTTAAATGTAGGCCCATTAGTATATATATATATGTGTGTGTGTGTGTGTGTGTGTGTGTGTGTATTATATTACCATAGCCTATATATATATACATATATTAGTGCTGTCAAATCGATTAACCACAATTAATAGCATCTGACATAAAAGTTTGGGTTTATATGTCTGTATATATATATATATATATATACATATGGGCCTACTGTCAATGTGTGTCTATTTATGTATATATATATATATATATATATATATATATATATATACATAAATAGACACACATTGACAGTAGGCCCATATGTACACACATATATTAAACAAACTTTTTTGTTAGATACGATTGAGGTTCATTGATCTGACAGCACTAATATATAGGCTACTGTGTGTGTGTGTGTGTGTGTGTGTGTGTGTGTGTATATATATATATATATATATATATATATATATTAGAAAGGGAAGATCAAAGTGAGATCAAACTGCAAACTCTTTTCTGTTTCTCTGATTAGAACACATAAAAGAACTGTGTAATTATTTTGATATTGATGTGCAAGAGATGTCCTGTATGATGTTCTACCAACTATTCCATCCAGGAATTTGTTTACAGAGCCATAGATGGCAGGATAATTTATTGACTTGTTTATTCATTGATAGGAGATTGTGAAACAGGTGTGAGAGGAACATGTACTTTCCCCGGCTGAGAGGAAGTGACCTTTCCTTCTGTCGATTCTTTCCCCTTCATTCATGTGCATAAAAAAGCCACTTTGAAATTTACTTTGCTGTCTGCAATTATCCACTCTGGATTAAATGAAGAATGAAAAAACAATATCCACCACAATTATTACTTTTTATTACACGGCTCTGTGGAATGCTCGATTCTGATTGGTCAATCGCGCCGGTACAGCAGAAACACAGGCTCATCCGGGTCACTGAAGACATCAGCGCGACACACTCGCTAGGAACGCTTTTTCTTCATGGAAGTTTTGCGTTTGGTGAGCTAATAATATATTAAAACTCAGTCGGATCAATATTTTGTGTAGTTATTTAATTATGCCATCCAGTATCGTGAACTCGCTCTCTCTTGTTTCACAAACGCAGCGGCGGCCATTTTGTGACTATTGTTTTGTACACTGTTGGATTATAAGATACAAACAGGTGCAATTTTAAATCAGTTTAATTTGAAATCAATATCTCTTATCTCCATAATTATTTATGTATTGAAATGCTGTGTTATGACTGTATCTCTTAAATGTCCATCTAGTTTGATCTCGAGGCTGAAACTGCTCTCTCCGCGAAGCTTTGCGTTTAAAGACCTAATCAAATATTTAGTCTCAGATCAATATTTCATGTGTAATTATTTACTTATGTGGCGAGTAGGCGTGTAATAACCGGGATAATGTACATCCGCTTCGAGTCGGGTCCTGATCACCCTGTCGGGTTTATTCTGAGATAACAACCGGCTGGATGTATATTATCCCTTACTTAACCAAATGAGAGTTAATGTTTAGCAGATCATCTTCATATCTGTATCAGAATCTTCTTCGGTTACTGTATTTGTAATTGGTGCATCATGACACAGTTAAAGATGAACATCATGAAACCGATGATGTGGTAATGTCTCGGTGCCTGTCACTCGGTAACAGCAGGGGTGCGAAGAATGGTTGCCATGGAAACCGCAGCATCAGCATCAGCTCCTTCTACAGGCTGAAGGACGAGGCTTGACCCAGTGAACGGAGACGCGCTTTACGAGTCTGAAATGATGGCTGAATACTCTATGTGAAGACATGAAACAGACCCACTTGAAATAATGTACAGGGTACCCGCGGGTCTTAAAAGCCTTGAAAAAGTCTTGAATTTGATCATCTCAAATTAAGGCCTTAAAAGCCTTGAATTTAGTATACAAAGTCTTGGATTTCGTTACAAAGGTCTTATATATTTTTTGCCTTTGCTAGGATTAAGTTCATACCGTAACAAAATTAACTGTTACTAATGTAGGCTAATTCAAAATGTATGCAGCGTTGAGTGCACCTCGCACTCCACGTCATAGCAGAAAAAACGATCGCGTGCGCACCGTTACTATGCTTACTAGGCAAGTGAGGTACAGAACAAGATAGCCTAGTTTAATCCGATGTGGCCACAAATGACAGAATTTAAACCCCAAATAAGAGCTTTTCTGTTAAAAGAACATATTTTCTACCCGGTCTTTTCAATAGTATCTGGCAACCATGCGCGCGCGCTCTCTCTACACTGCTGAAGAAGCGCGGATGATCTGAAAACACAGTCAAGCTGGAGTTCAGCGATCTTTATTTAAGATGTTCTACTTAAATTCAAGTGTCATTCAGTCGGTCTGTGTTCTGTCACGAGCCGCTTGCGCTGTTTGTGCGACTAAATCTGCGATCAAAATGCAGGCTGATATATCCACCAGTGTTCATACGAGCAAGAATGCAATGTTTACCGAATATCCACACGATTTCAAACGTGACATTGATTTTATACAACAGTAAAAAAGAAAAGAAAAAAGGGTAACATTAAGTGATGTACTACATTTAAAACCGCATTGTCAGGCTTGCTCTATTTTGCAACGAAATGGTTTGAACGAATCGTGAGATTCAATGAATGAATGACTCAAAGACTCACTCATAAAGATAGTGAGGTTCTGCCACCTACTGGCGATTTTAATGTTTTTTAACATTGCAAATTTAATGAACATTGTTTTATTTAAAGCATTATTATTATTATTATTATTTTTAAGGTATTACAAAGGAAAAAAATGAAATGGAAAAATGTATTAAAGGGGGCAAATCTTGTCCCTTAATAGAAAAGGTGTGACTGCACCAGGGGGTACGGCACTCTAAAACATTGGAGAACCAAATTATGTAGAACTGCACAAGTGCTACTGCTAAAGAGTGCAATGTCAATAATTTATCATAAGCTTAATTGAATTGGCCTAGAGAGAATAATTATTATGACATTTTCTGTCTAAAGACTACATATAAAATAACTACCTGTAAAGTAACTGCATTTTTTGCCAACTTTTAGTCAAACTGCAAAGACTTTTCGTCAACTACAACTATAAAAAAATAGGATGACTCAAATGTGATTAAGACCAATAAGCATTTTCGTAAATCAAAAATGGCTGCCAAAATTAACACTGGCCTACATACACGTGCGCGCTACAATGCTGTTGCGTATGTATTAAATATGACTGATAATTTAAGTAAAATGTTTTATTTAATTCAAGTAGCCTTGTACATAATTAGTTTCTAGGGTTTAAAATGTATCCAGATTTGACATTTTCCCCTCATACTTCTGTCGGAATGGGTACGAAGTTGGCATTGAATTTCATTTGAAATGGTATTAAAAAGGTCTTAAAAAGCCTTGAATTTAAGTTGGAGGATCCTGGGGGTACCCTGAATGTAGGTCATCTGTATCTATATGTAAGAAATGTTGTTTTTCCACCTTTGTTGCCATTGGCTTGGCTTGCTTCGTTGGGGACATTAAATGTAACATTTAATTTAATATTCAACAATAATATTGATCTGCCTGCATTGACACTTTTATACTAGATCTGAACTGAGCTGGACGATGACATCACGGTTTACTCCAGAGCGGCTATATATAAATGAACTAAATCAACAACTTTTTTAAAACAAAAATGAAACAAGCTGGACTGTGACGCTATTTCTTCTAGAAACAAACTTTGTTGCATTCTTCTCCTGTTATGACTGCTGCTTTGAAACAATCTGTATTGTATAAATAAATAAAGGTAACTTGACTAAAAATACAATTTTTCAGCTCAATTCAGTTCAGTTCAGTGTTGCAAACCTGTTATGAAGCAAATTCAATTCAGCACTACAGGAGAAAATAATGTCATAATTCCGCTTAGGTCAAGATTTGTTTGATTGTCGAAACATTGTCGAACTGATAATGTTACTGTCTTTCAAACTCTAAGGAGCTGAATGCAACCCAAACCTCGAGCATTATAACACACGTGAGTGACGTCATGAAGCTTCAGACGGTGTCCTGAGGATCAGACTGAGAGTCTGGATGGCCGGAGATACAGGAGCTTCTCTTTGATGGACAAACCTTCAGTAGCTTTCTGTTCTTCATGGGTGGTCAGAATGAGAGAGGAAGTGACATCATCTTCTCTTCACAGGCCTAATGTGTGCAACATTTCCCCGAGTGACTCGCTGGCAGCAAACACACAGTGTGTGTGAAACGGGCAGGACTGGACACGCACAACACCTCCTCTGACTCTATGGGTGTGCTGTATTTACTCTCAGATCTGTTCACACACACAAAGAGAACATTCTCAGGCAACAATATGATAAATGCATTTTAAACATGAATACACCCTTGAAAATAAAGGTTCCAAAAAGGGGGGGGGTTAGAGTAATGCAATTGAAGGATCATTTTTTGGAACCTTTCAGTGAACAAAACATTTTTTTCTTAATGTGAAGAAC